TAGTGATGTGATTTTTATCGGATTCCGAGATGTGGGCCCGGAGGTCGGGTTTGGCCAATTTCGGAATTTTTGAATTAATTTGAATATTTGCGCTTGGGATTTGTTCCTTTTGCATGTATTAATGATGTAATACTGATTTTGGTTAGATTTGGAGCATTTCGAGTCCGAGTCGAGAGGCAAAGGCATCGCGAGCTAGAGTTTTGTCTGGTTTGAGGTAAGTAATAATTGTAAATGTTGTCCTGAGGGTATGAAACCCCGAATTTCACATCATTTCACTACTTTGAGGTGACGCACATGCTAGATGACGAGTGTGGGGGCGTGCACTGTTGGGGATTGTGACTTGGTCCGTCCCATACGACTATTAAGTCGCGTATTTGATTGAAAACTATTTGATACTATTGTGTTCTGGAAAGTATTACTATGTTTGGGCTGGATGCTATATTTAAGCCTCGTGCCAACTGTTTGGACCCTTAGGGGTTTTTTACTACTGTTTCCTCACTGTTTTGGTTTAATATCTACACTCAGTCATGCTATATTTTACTAATTTCATAACTCAATTTTATTTACTCCGTTTTGATACTATAAATAATATTTTGGGATGAGAATTCTATTTATTGTTAGCCCGAGTGGCTTGAAAGATTTCTGACTGAGTGAGGCCGAGGTATTGTATTGTGAAAATATCATGGGATCGGGCTGCGTGTCACAGCGTGTTGTACTATTTTGTGATATATGAGAGGTCGAGGGCCTGATTTATTATGCCACGAGATGGCTTGTGATAGCACTTGGGCTGTAGGAGCTCCTACGGAGTCTGAACACCCCCAGTGAGCGTGGATACCCAGTGTGAGTGATGTGATGTTGCCCGAGGGGCTGTTTTTGATTTATGTTGTTGCCCGAGGGGCTGATTACGAATGATTGTGAGGTAGCCCGAGGGGCTGGTTCTATTGATATTTTACCCGAGGGGCTGTTTACGTTTCTATCATTTTTACTCATTGTTTCATCACTTATTTGAAACTATTGAAAGATGTTTTTAAAAGAAAAGGTTTTACTGAAACTGAGTTGATTTTACGAGATAGTTGATTTTTGTATTGTTTTGGGAACGTATTGTATTTGATGTAGTGTTATAACGTGGAATTATCTGTTTTCTTACTGCTCAGCTTTTATTTAATTTTATTACTTACTGATTTGGCGTACTCACATTACTCCATGCACCTTGTGTGTAGATCCAGGATTACGGATCGGGATAGTGAGTGCTGATCGTTCTTCTAGTAGATCTTCAGAGTCGACAAGATAGCTGCTTGGCGTTCGAAGCCCTGCAATTCTCCTTCTTACCTTACTCAGACTGTTCTTAGTATTTTATTCCCGGACTATGATAGCCTTTCTTATGCTTAGACCGATCTTGTAGTTGCTCGTGACTTGTGACACCCTGATGTCGGGCTTGTGTTATTTTACATACTAGTTATTTAGACTTATGTTATGAGATTTTGTTAATTAATAGCTTAAAATGCTTTTTTTATTAAATACTGGTTAGATTTGGGGTTTGTGTCGGCTGCCCTAGTTTCACGATAGGCGCCATCACGACCGGGTCGATTTTAGGGTCGTGACAATACAAGAAGTGGGATGGGTACAAAGTGGCATTTTTAATCTTATATGTAGATGACATATTGCTCATAGGCAATAATGTGGGCATGTTGGGTTCAGTTAAGCAGCGGTTGTCCACGCACTTCGATATGAAAGATTTGGGAGAAACGGCTCATATGCTTGGGATCAAGCTCTTGCGAGATCGCAAGAAAAGGAAATTAGGCTTATCCCAGGCTCTTTACATTGATACAATACTCTCCAGGTTTAGCATGCATGATTCAAAGAAAGGATTTCTTCCTTTCAGACATGGAATTTCTCTATCTAAAGAACTAAAACTGATGAAGAGATAGAAAAGATGAAGGTGGTCCCTTATGCATCTGTCATGGGGAGCCTGATGTATGTCATGTTATGTACTAAACCTGATATTTACTTTGTCGTGGGCATTGTTAGCATATTTCAGTCTAATCATGGGAGAGAGCATGTGACTACGGTTAAGCATATAATCAAGTACCTAAAAAGGACTAGAGATTATATGCTAGTCTACCATTCGAATGACCTTGTACCTATTGGGTACACTGATTCAAATTTCCAGTCAGATAGAGATTTTAGAAAGTCTACCTCAGGAAATGTATTTACCCTGGGAGGTGGAGCCATAACTTAGAGGAGCATCAAGCAAACTTATGTTGCTGATTCCACCATGGAAGTCGAATATGTGGCAGCCTCTAAGGCATCCAAAGATGCGGTTTGGCTCGGGAACTTCCTAAGAGAGTTGGGTGTAGTTCCCTCGATTCAAGCACCAATAACACTTTATTGTGATAATAATGGTGCGGTTGTAAATTCGAAGGAGCCACGAAGCCATAAAAGAGTAAAGCACATTGAGCATAAATATTATTTAATTCATGAGATAGTGCAAAGAGGGGATGTAGTAGTCACCAAGATTGCGTCAGAGAACAACTTGGCAAACTTGTTTACTAAGAGCTTGCCACAGAAGACTTTTCATAGGCATATAGACGGAATGAGTGTTGGACGCATGGTTATGAGTGTAAGTGGGAGATTGTTAGAATATACTATAAACCATATGTATTGTTATAGTATTCTATATGGAATAATTATTTATTTATTTAGTCAATTCAATAAAATTTTATTTTAAATTGATCATGTATTTGTTTGTGTATCATTTGCTTATATAGTAGATGATTTAGTGTATAGATTTTAGCTGATACACGGAAGATAAAATCATTGGTTTTTATAAGTCATAAAGTTTATGTTTACAATCTAATTATGGAATTGGACAAACCATCGGAATGGTTGTAGCACAAGATTAAATATAATTTATCTTGATTATGGGAATGATTTAATTTCGACTTCTTGTGCTAGTATATTTTATATGTATTGAACGGATCAAGTAGAGATAAGTATTTTATACTGATTTAATAAAATAATTTCTCTAGTCCATTCAATGTACTTATACTCTTAATCTTGATATAATTATTATTAATTGTGTGTGTCATTTATTGTTTTGATTTATTAAAAGGTGAAATTCTTTCGTGGGTCAATAAACCTGGTAAATTGGACAATAATGATATACATTGGTGAAGTAATAATTAGTTGATAGAATCCGTGTCTCGGCTTTTGAGATTGATGATACTCCTTTATGAAAGATTATAAGTTTTCATGTGTTGACCCAGTCGGTGGATTTTGTATCCGACACATGAAATAAGTTAAGCGAAGGTTTAAAGGAAGTAATCAATAAATTAAATTATCAGTAATTTAATGTGACTGATTAGTATCTGAATCTTAACATGGGAAGTTAAATAAGGTTTTATGGAAGTATTTAGAAATTGAACTAAGGAGTGCAATTACGAATTTTTTGTGGAATAATTCATAATTTATTATGTTAGAAGTTAATTTCGAATTTAATTCCATAATAGGGAGCCTTGTTAATTAAATTCGGTGGTGCCTACTATTCCTAAATAATAGGAAATAAAGAAAAACTTTCCTTTGTGAAACAAAAAACCTAATAGGCTTTGGAAAAGGATTTTACCATAAAAAAAACATGGCTGTATATATCTCATATAGGGCTGGCCTTTTTTTACACACATTTTCCTTGAAATTTCCCCCGCCCGAAATTCTGTCTTTCTGGATATTATTTGGGTAACATAATAGAAGATTGTGGAACGTTTTGTTGAGGTCGCAGTCTTGCTATTCTGGAACTGGAGACCGAGATTAATCTGCTTTGTTCACGCTTCAAGAGGTAACTCGTATAATCTCCATATGTGCTACTTGTTTAATTTACACGTGAATATGATACTGGAATTGCTTCCGCAACGATATATAATCCAACATTGACATCCGTAGAGGTTTTGATATGTAGATGAATCTTGCAAAACTTGGCTTTCTGAAATAACAAGTTGAAGGATAATTTTACCCTCAACTGATCAATTAACCACCAGTCAAAGTTTTAGAATTTGAGTTAAAGGTGAGTATACTGATTTCTCAACCTTCAGATGGGAGGAACAGTTCGACATTAAATCAATGTTGTAGAGAGGTAAAATAATTGTATGTTACTCCCTCCGGTTCGCAATAAGTGATCAATTTGCTTTTAGTATGCCCGTTAAGAAAATACTAAATTCTATACAAAAATACCTACTATGACTAAATTACCCCTAATTAAACATTTAATGTGAAGAGTAAGAAAACTTTTTAGGGATACGTACATAGGGGTTATTTTGTAAAAATAAATTGAATTCTTTCTTGATTACATAACTGGACACTTATTTTGAGTCAAAATAAAAAAGTAAATTGCTCACTTATTGCGAACCGGAGCGAGTAACATTTTGCAGTTTTAAGTCATAATAGCCCATTGTCAAGGATAAAACGGATAGAGATTCTTGAGGCCCCTGGAAGCTAGAAGCTACATAGAGATCCACTCTACATAATACAACATGATACCGTGAACAAAAAGTATACTTCCTATTTAGTATGAGAAGCAGAAAACAGAATACTAAGATACAAAAGCAAGCTGTAAGCATAGGCGAAGCTACATTAGGGTAAGGGTGGTCAATTGACCACCCTTTGTCGGAAAATAATATTAGGTATATAAGTAAAATATTAAGTTTTAGAGGTATATAATATATATTGAACATTCTTTGTCATGAATTTGTTTTACTTTTTTTAAATTTGAACATCCTAAAAAAAAATTCTGGCTTCGCTACTGGCTGTAAGAATATGAGCTGGAATACATATATGAGCTACACACATTTTCTTTACCCTACATCACTTAGATAAAGCATTTAATTTCATTGACATCCTCTTTTACCTTCTCTTCTTGGTCTTACCACAACAACTATGCTTCACTCTCAAACAACCGAATAAGTTGGAATCAGTCACTACTTCATTTAAGTTCAACTGATATTATCATATACTAAATAAAATTAAAAAAGAGTTCTCATATAATCACGTTACAAGTCACAAAGGACCGGCCTAAACAACAAAAGATTTGAGAAGACTGGTCCAAATAAGATATGCACAACCAAATAAATCCAGTAGGGCAACCGGAGGCAACACTTTTAGCATTTAAATCGACAAAAGGCTTCACGAATCTTTGAACCGATTTCTATAGCATTAATGCCAAAGCCCAAGTAGTCACGTCTTTGTCTAGAGCCAAACTGAAACCTGGATTTGTTGAACCAAAAATGTAAAAAAGGACAGTAGCATTCATGTTAACCAAGATTTATCACTTATTAGATCTCGTAAAGTCTAAGAGGAATACTAGCAACATCACATTATTACTGCCTTAAAGAATCCAAAGGAGGAAAAAAGGTAGGAGGCCATAGTTCCCACAAACATGAACTGGATAGTGTAGGCCTAAACAGCTCAGTCGCCAAAAAAACAAAGATTCAGCACGAGCTGCAGAATTATCTAACCGCCAACATATTAATAAGAGTGACACCACTTGCCTTTCGACTTTAAACATATTAAACCTTAGTGCGAGATCAGGCTGTAAACAATTGTTTTCATCAGGTTAACAGTTTTTAATTGACAGGAGAAAACTAACAGCCAGATCTCGCACTAAGATTCGGAAGTTCATCACATGCAGCAGGGCAAGGGCGTATAAATGAATTTACTTTTTCTTTCAGCTGTACAAAACTAATTATGTAGAATCTCAACAGCGTATACACCATACAAGCAAGATTTTGCACAACACCATCACATTCAAATGATACAATCAACTAGGGATATGTTTGAAATATCCTCGTAAAACATCGGATATGGCAAAAGGTACAAAACCATCTTTAGATTATTTTCTGAAGGAGTCACATCATACATCTAATGCGTTGACAATTTGAAACCTTAAGATACGCAGAGAAAGAAGACAATCTACCAGTTCGAATAAGCTGCCCACTAGAAGTGAAACTTTAATAGAAAAACATGGCGCCACTCCCAGCTCTCCAGCTTAAGCCTCAGCAAATCTGGCATCAAATCAAATTGATAGTTAAGACACGGCAAGGAAAACAATATGCTAGGAGATAATGTAAATCAGGTTTCGATTAGTCTATATGCTTACCCCAATTCAGAGAGTTTCATGTGAGCCTCGGCATAGTCTGCAAAGAAAGCATCTTCATCCTGAAATTACAAGATAATTACTTGAGGAGTCATGCAACACTAGCCAAATAAATAAGTTGTGTGGCCTCAAAAACATAAGTTCAAATTATAGATCAATACGAACCGCTGCATATTTCTCAACCAATGGGCGGAAGACAGGATCGCTGAGGAGAGCCTTGTCTGATGGCAACTGTAAAAGACCCTCCTTTTCCCCGCTCAAAAGTTCCCTGTAATAAAGAACATGACCTTTAAAGCGGATGAACTAATAACATCATCAGTTAAACAGTCTTCCACACATTGCGAACATCTGAGAAATGTATTTTGGATAAAAAAAAAAAGAAGCTGTACTTGAAGTAGGAGTTGTCGAAGATAAGTGGATTAGCAGTCCATGGTCCCTCAAAACCTGAACGTTCCTTGTGGCACCTCCCCTGGAGCAAGTTGTGATAAGAATATTAGTACGATAGAAGCTTGTATACCTAAGCTACAATCCAAAACACAAAAAAGCTACAAACCAAGGTATGGCCACCAGAGAGTGCGACAATGTCCTTGTCAGAAAGACCCATTTGCTTAACAAACACATCCCTCAGATGGTCAGAACCTGCAATAAGTTGACTAACAATTAGTATATAATGGAAGATGGCTGACAAGAATGTTCTGTGCCCAATAGGTGGCAATCATTTTTGTCCTCTGAAGGGTACTCTCATAAGACAATCTGTAAGGAACAACTCACCCTTGGTGGCATCAGGCAGGCGACCTTCAAGAGGTGGCTCTGTCTTGTCCTGATAAAGAAAAGGTAAGCAAAGATATCTAGTGAGGTAACCAAATAACCAATTGTATCATTCCCACAAGAAAGTTTAGGAAGAAGTGACACCACCTTTTGTATAAGCACAAATTACTAAAAGAGCAAACAGTATCCACTCAGAGATGCATTTCCATAATCCTATCCAAACAAGGACTGGAATAGAATTGAAAGTAGACAAACATTTCCATCTATTTGATATGTTTGAATTACAATTTCAAAACCATGCAAGACAAAAAAAGGAATCATCCAGTAGAAATAAATTTAAAGAACTAATTTTCCATTGTTAAAGCAGAAGTATGAGCAGAAATCTTCAAACTCAGCATAAGGTAGCAATTCTTTGATAGACTATTATTTAGTAAACGCTTACAAATCCTATTGAGGGGATATAGGATCAAGGCTTCCACATTTTTCTGCTACTGATGCCTTGAAAATGAAAATAATTAATCTTGGTCTTATTGATTAAATGATAATTACCTCTCTACCAGGGTGGAAGGGCACATCAGGTCCTCCAGTAACTTCAACAGCAACCACTCCAGCCAACTACAACCAAAAGAAACTATTTCATTAATTTTCCATTTCACCTTAGCAACTAGAAATCAAGTACCCACAACTTCCAAAATATAGATCATCACAAACGACATACCTGATAGAAATCAGCATAAGAGAGAGTAGGGAACTGCTCCTTGATGGGTTCCAATAGCCTGATGGCAATGTCGACACCGTTATTGGCGCCATGGCTTAGCTCAGCCTTGAACCTCATGGTACCAAATGGACCTCCAGTTTTGGAGCATACATCATAGGTACCAGCAGAGTGCCATCTGTGATGATATAAAATATTTTCAACACCATGAAACTAATATTCACTTTCCCTATCAGAAAGAAAATCATATTGATTCAATTTTTCTTTTTGTGTGTGTGCATGCGCTTGTGTGTAAAGCGGGCAGATCTATGTAGAGGGTTGGGGGTGGCACACCACCCGGACACTCAGGTAAAATTTTATGTGTGCGAATATATTGATATTTTACGAAAAATATGCTATATAGTAAAAGGATGGAACCCAGAGTAATATGTTGGCTCTAGGTGCCATGGTTAAAAGCCAACTTTTCAGATATTAGATACAGGAACGAATCCCTGTTTCCCTTCTCTTAATTTACTGTTCTGCTCCTTTGCTTAATTTTTTGTATTTCTTCTTCTTTTGATTTCCTCTCTTAGTGCAATCATTTTATTATTTATTCAATAATATATTTGCTTCTTCTTTTCTTTGGACAGATCTTCAATATTTTATTTGAATGTGATTTTAGTATTTTCTCTTTTTATCCCTATATTTTATTGTATCCATGGCATCAATAGACATATAAGGGGTGTATTTTCTAATTTAAAACTTTATTTTAATTTTATGCATCTAATCACATCACTCAAAAGAGCTAGAGAATTAGATCGAATTGGACAAAATTTATTAAGTTTGATGGTCATAAATTTATTTATGCACCAAAATTTTCGCAAATTGAACCAAAATAATTCAAAATAGATCAAACCGAACCAACGCGAACCGAATTAGTTCAAAATAGATCACACTATACATCCAGTTTAAGAAATAAACTTTTGAAACTTATAGCCTAAAACAAAACATAGATATTTGTTAGGCTATGAATCATCACATTAGGTAAAACAGAAAATTTAACGTTAAATTGTTTCTAAATATAAAAGGTACTAGTAGAGTATTTTATAAATTGGGATGAATGGAGTAGTATTTTTAAATAGTTTCTAAATATGCACTTTATTTCAAGAATTATAAAATTAAAAAAATAAGACACATGGAGACTCGTGCATCATATTATTCTAATTTCGGGGGGAGAGTGTAATTGATTTCATATCAATATCTAAGATGCAGAAATGAAAAAGATGACAATGTACAAAAACTTGAACAGTCAAAAATCCCCAAGCATAAACGGATAGAACTAAGGAGAACATACGCTAAACGGAGCATAAGAGGAGCACAGTTCTTCTCAGCGATGAGTCCTCTGAGATTTCTTTTGGCTTTATCAACAGCCTTAACGTACTCCTCACTCACTGTGGGATAGCACTTCGTCATGGTAATAGTTCTACACAAATATCCAACCACAAGCACAATGAGATCCAAAAACTACAGCAGATATATCAAATTGTACGTAGATCTAAAACAACCATATCTTAAATCCATGTATATGCAGAAATAAATCAGTGTTCCAAAATCTCCAGCAAACGAACCACAAACATCAAAATACATAACGCAACAGGAAAAAACAAATGTGCAATGATTAAGCCTCTGATCAAATAATATTTATCCAATTTATCTCAACATTTAGGTTAAATCGGAGCTTTCAAAGTAAATCGAACATGAAAAATTGAAAAAATATAAAAATAAAGCTGCATTGCATAAGGAAAAGCTAAAGACCTGTAGAGAATATCGAGGAGCAAAGAGACAAAGCGTTAAACCCTAAAGAGAGTGTGGCACGAGCAGAGCACAAGCACGAAAATGATGAATTTGTATAAAGAGAAGGTGAAGATAAAAGGATGAGAAAGTTCTAGAGGTTGAATATAAGCCGTTGGATGAGTAGGATCGTGAGGCTGATACGGAGAGATTAATTGACAGCTGAGATTGGTCTATATTTTATTTTGTGGAATATGCTGATAACTTTTTATATTAGGTTGGTGGGAATTTGAAAAATCAAAGCACAATCTGATGAATTTGATTTATTATTAATAGTGTTAAACAAATGGAATAGAGATCCCATCGTGCTGACCTTTAAGGACAATTATTTATTTCGAATCACTTAGGAAATAATTGTGTATTTTAAATTACTTAAATGTCCTTTTGTCGCATCACTTAATCTCTTTGTGGGATATGAACATTTTGCCTTATTTTATTTCGTTAGGCTGATTAAAATAGAAGAGAAACACCTATTTAGCATGTTCTTTTAAAGCAAACACCTATTTAGCTTGATCTTCTTAATCAACAAATTTTTTTCTTCCAAACTATTAAAGTAAACATAATGTATATCGTGAAATCTCATCCTTATATTTATTTCGCAAAAATATTATGAAACATACTAGAACTTTATATGGTTAAGTTTTATAATGAAAAAGTATACTATGAATATTGCGGACAAGTGACGATTTAAAACTTAAAGCTGGTCATTATATCAAAATAATAAATTAAATTATATTGACATAAATGTCCCAATTAGATAATATTTTGTGTTTAATCTACTCTCGAGAAATCAAACTTGATCGTGGTTCATGTATGCACTATTCTAATCTACACAAAAAGTACTTACAAGCTTCACACTTCTAAATGTAAAATTTCTATATACGAGGACAGACCGGTCATTTGCCAATGTGATATCCCTAAAACCAAATGTGAATGCACGGTGCCATACAAGATTCCTTGAAGAGAGAAACCAGGTCACTTGTACTCCCTCAGTCTCAAATTATCATATTTCTTTTTTTACGCGTTCCATAAAAAACATTAATTAGAATGAGGTTTTGATTAGTTCACTTTTATTTATATCTTAAGATATATTCTCTTTTTATTGAATATTTACTCTATTTATGTGTTATTTTCATCTTCAAGAACAATTACTATTATAGGTAAAATTGAAAAAAATAATTAATTTTATTTTGAACTTCTAAAATGACAAATAATTTAGGACAACTATTTTCAGAAATCACGACAGATAATTTGAGATGGAAGGAGTAGCATGTTCCGTCGAACTTCTAAAATAAGCTTATTTTAAAAAGTATTTTTTTTAAAAGTGCTTTTCAAAAAAGTTTTTTTTTTGTGAGAATCAATTTATGTTAGGCTAATTCATTTAAAAACACTTTTTGAGCAGCAATTGATGTTTGTTCAAGCTTTTAAAAATATCTCTAAGTGTATTTTTGTCAACAACAAAAAAAATCAAATAAGTGCTATGGGAAGAAGCTAATTTTTTTGCTTCTACTCGAAAATATATATTTTTCTTTTGAAAACTTGGCTAAACACTTTAATTATGGAAACAAAATTGACCAAAAATACTAGGACAACAAGCTATTGGTCGGTTTGCTTCTTGTGTCACTGTCCAATAGTTCTTTTGTTCTTTTTTCTTTTGTGCTTCTTTTTAATCATCTGATAAAATTATATTAGTTCGACTAATTTGAATTTGGATATGAACTAACTCACTAGGAGAATAAAGCAGTCTCCGTCTCTCCGATAAAAAAATTAATCCAAAAGTTTGGTCAAGACCAAAAAGATTTCAATTATTATCACATTCTTTAGTGATATTTTTTTGTTTTTGTTTTTTCGATTTGTCTTGACTTGCGTGCTAGCAGCCAGTGGTTGTCAATTGTCATGGGTGACCCATGCTGAGATCCTGTGGGTGATACCATAATGTTGCAACCTTTTGTTACTATTGAAATCAAAGCCAATGTTAACAAACACAAGACGAGAACACGGCCGTCTCGTTGACGCTGCCCTTTGTTTCCCATTACAAAATCTGAAAAGTATGTGATATAATTGAAGTTGCATGGAAGATTAAACCCTAGATTCTAGAGAATTTAGAGAAGAGAGAAGAGAAAATTTTTTATTTCATCCTTTGTTATGCTTTATTACAAGAGTGAATAGTATTTAATCAAAATAACTGACCTACACATGCCTATCACGTGTGTGTAATGACTAATATACCCTCATTTAACTTCAATAGTATGTGCTAAAGGTGTCAATGGTTCAGTTTGGCCGGTTATTTTATAAAATTTATACCATACCAATTTTTCGGTTATTCTATTATGTATAACCAAAATTAGACTTTTCGAAACCGTCTCAATCATGTCGGTTTCTCTTCGGTATCGGTACGGTTCGGTTAATTTTCGGTATTTTTTTTAATATCATGTAAAATTCACCAGTAGAAGTAGAATTGCAATAACATACGTTTTTTTATAGGACTTAGCAAAACTCTCTAGACATTTTTACTGTTTAAAGGGTGATGAATTAAAAAAAAGATGGCTAGAGTATAGATCCAACAACTATTCTACAACAGCGTAAAAGAAATCAAACAAAGGCAAAGAAAATATTAATCACACGAGTTGAAAGATATACAAAGTTGGGACTCAAGAATAAAGTCTATAGAAGATTAATATTCAAAAAGATAAATCTAAATTATATGAAAGGAAACATATTCAATACATTGTAGTTTGCTACTCATAATCGCTAGAATACATTGTGTCTTGCTAATAAAGATACTTGAAATAACTTAGTTTAAGTAGAAGTAGCATTGTAGGTTTTAGGAATTAGTATTTTGAGTTTAATTACTTGTTGGCTTGTAATAGTTTTCATAATTCCAAGGCTCAAAGAAAATTTAATGCATGATTATTTTTAAACTTACTAAATAAATATATTTTCTACATGTAAAATTTATTCGATACGGTTCGTCATTTTTTCGGTTTATTTTTATAAAATAAAAAACCTACCCTAATTATCGGTACGGTTATAGATTTATATAAAAACCTACGGATTCTTAAAAGGAAACCTAAAAATCGGTTCGGTGCGGTACGGTTCGGTTGGTTTAGTCGGTTTTCGACTATCCATTGACACCCCTACTATGTGCCGTTGTCCTTTTTATTTTTCAAAGTTCTACTATTTACTTTACTTTATCTGAAGGGTACTAAGTTATTGTGAAGGAAATTTATTGGAATTTGAGTCAGATTGTTGTGAGTCTTGTGAAGATTGTAACTTTAAGCACGTTTTATCAAAAACTTGAGAATTTGTCCGCGTTTCACGCGGTTTAATAAAATTCTATTTGATTTAATAATTTTATTTATAAATTCAATCCAAATAGAATAATAATTTTTATTTATTAATAAACATATATGAAATATTTCTATATATTGATCAAGTCACAAATATATAATTCTTATTAGAATTTTAGCTTAGTGAATTGCATTTTTCATTGTCAGAATTCTTTTGTAAAAGGAAAAAAAGAAATTCAAGGAAATTTGTACTTTTGCGTGGTGATTTGCTTTTAATACATAATTCTTAGTTTAATTACATAAGTATCAGATATTTGTCTTCGTCCTTTCTGTAATAGTAGTATTTGATTTTCTAAAACTTTTAAATTAAAAGAACATGAAATGAAACGTAAGAATACTACAACAACAATCATTACTATTGAGTTACATTCCAGTCATGTATTTTTTTTTGCCAATTATTTTTCCTTTAGTATTTTTCTTTTACTGTTTATCTTTGTTTAGATTTTCAATTACTTGATCTCTCTACTTACTTTCATCCCTTTTTCTACTTATTCCTACCTTACTTCCTTTATAAATTTTTTTTTTGCGGTTAAGTAACATGAGTTGTCAACCTAAAAAAGTTTATACTATCAGATAACTTTTACGTATTGGAACATGCAATTGCGCTATAAAAAAATATTAAAGGGGAAAAAAATGTTCTTACATTATCTGAAAAAATAATTTAGAAACTTACCACAATGTAGTTGGGATGAAACCAATAACCACTATATATATAGAGAAAGAGAGATTGATTAGAAAATGGCTGCATGTTAGGTAAGGAATTGAAAGGGCAAACAGTAAAATAATAAATTAGATACAATTTAATACTCATAATTGTATTGTAATTACTTTTAACGGTTGGAGAAGTGAAACAAATCTCTTTTAAATTTGAAATGCTTACTTTTAACTCGTAATTATATTTCTCTCCCTTATTAAGACTCATAATGATGTAAAAGGGAAGACTTCTAATAATTAAGTAATTGCATTTAAATAAGGGGGAAAACCAAAAAATCAAGGAAAAAGATAAATAGAGGTGCTCGCATTTGAGGCATGCCATTACATTAAATAGCGGTGATTTTGTGTACAGATTTGTAACATTTTATCACGTTAACATGAAAGCTTAATATTCAACTGTGTTGACCTGTGCGGTATAAGTTTTGATAATTGACAAAGGAACACATGCATCAACCAAGTCTATGAACACTGTACACATATTACAATCAGAATCAAGCAAAAGGCATGCACGAGCAAGGGATAAATATAAGGGGTCGTTTGGTAGGAGGTATTAGAAAAAATAATGCAAGCATTAGCTCTATGCATTACTAATACCTTGTTTGGTACAATTTTTCAACATGTGTATAACTAATACTTGTATTAGTTATACATCATACTTGGCGTTATCTTATGCATAAGTAATGCATAGAAAACCATGGCATGAGTAATACCACGACTTTAATGCATGCATTAGCATGGTTAAAGACAAAATTGTTCCTAAAGTCTCTTAAAGCTAGAGAATATGGATGACATTTTTGGAAGCAACTATTTTTCTTAAAAATTATACAATGCATTATAATTTTAATACACCATACCAAACAATAGATAAGAAATAATATCTGCATAACTAATGCTTGCACTACTAACTCATGCATTACTAATCCATGCATTACTAATACATCTTATTATGTACTATTCTTATACACCCTACCAAACGACCCCTAAGTGATTATTTCTGGTAGTCCCTAAACGAAAAGATTGCATATTTAATAAGGAGCACGACTCCTTACTTGAATAGAACTCTATCCAAGATAAGGAAAGAGTTAGAAGTTGAAGTTAACTATAACTCTTCCACTAAGGAAGATTATAGCGTTAGACTTCTAGTTACTCTTTATTCTACTAACTCTATAAATATC